TGCGTGAAATTCAAAACAAAACAAACAAAAACAATCAAATGTCGCAGCGTCATCTGCTAATAAACTTATGAAAGAAAAAATGGATCGTTAATTTTGTTCGTTTGTTTTAGAACAAAGCTATCTGGGAATCAATCCCCCGAATGTTGTAAGCCCGTAAAAAGTTGAGAATTCGGAACTACTTCTTAGCCGACAAACCGTCATTCTAGATATATTGAATGACTTTTGTAAATCTATTTCTCATGAAAATATAATAAGGCGCCGATTCATGTATAAGAGGTAAACAGCCTAATTCTTATTTTTCATTATCCAATACATGAAAAAACGGGGATGATTCACACCGTTATTTAATTTAATATTAATATAAAATTACTTTAAAAATCGCGTACAGGAAGAGCTGGTTGAGTTCATGTTTTATTTTATAAGGTTATAAATTTCTATTGCCTGGTTTCCTAAACCACAAGTAATGTTTTCGTAAACTTGTTTTTTAGAACTTGTGATGTAATATTTATCTATTTAACGAGTGTGTGTGTGTGTGTGATAAAGAGTATGGTTTGCCTTATAAGGTTAACTTGTTTCGTCCTACTTCAGTTCTTATATTAGTATGATTCGTAAATCAAACACATCAAGTTCAGTACTTTCTATACTATCTAAGAAAGGTAGTTGGTAAAGAGATAAAAGTCTTTGATTATTAAAAAGAAAAAATAAAGAATATTTCATATTAAACATTATAGCCTTCCAAATTTGGTAAAAGTGTTGGAAACAATCTATTAATATACGTGTATATGATCCTTTACTCGTTCGTCGATGTCATCGTCATCTATTAGATATTCTGGTGACTCAGAGGTAATTCTAAGGTGTTATAGCGCTAAACAGCAGTTGCGGTATCAGCGGTAGACAGATTACAAATAGCCGATTAACAACAAACAAACAAAACACATATTGGGCGTTTCCTACAAACAAAGCACTTGTGCGGAAGTCATGTCACGTTTCTCTCATGCAGTACTCGTCGTATTGCTGAAAATAAACGATATGATGAGTACTGCATTTTACTCGGCATGAGTGAGGTTTAACATCTGGTTTCAAACGGCATTTACCATTTCCAGTAATCTATTTTATATCAATCTGTTTTATATTGGATTTTCTCTTGTTCACATTAGATGAACAAGAACGCTTAACAAATTAAGGGTCAGAAGTACGAAGATCTTAATTGGCGGCATTATTCTTGTCTGTGTCCTACGTAACCCGACAGCTAGGTTTGTTTGCTTTGTTTGTTTGTAATTAAGCACAAAGCTACACAATGGGCTATCTGTGCTCTGCTCACCACGGGTATCGAAACCCGGATTCTAGCGTTGTAAATCCGCAGGCATACCTCTGTGCCACTGGGGGGGGGGGGCGACAGCTAGGATTTTCAAATTTGACATTTTCGTTAATGTAATTAAAATTTGTTGTTAAATCATGACTTAAAAATTACTTGCGGAAATTTCTTGATACTTTTGTAATGTTGCTAAAGCCTTTATGAATAGAGTATATGCTTTAACCTAGAAAGGAAGTCAATATTTAGGCATTATTACGAATGTGACAGCCATGTTTGTTTTTACTTTCAAATGATCATTTAATTTATCATTGCATTAAATAAACACGTCTTCGACAAAGTCAGAAGTGAAATACATTCATTTTTGGTTTGTTTTTTTCATGATTTACAATGGAGTATAATCTCGTTCCAAGTAAATTTGCTACATACTAATACATCTTTATATACTAATACATCTTTAAATCAGAATAACGATCACAATTTATTGTAACCAGATGTAATATGCTAAATTAGTTTAACAAAACAAATATGAAAAAGAGTAAATAAATTCCGTCTGTCTTTCCATAATTATAGAAATATATTTGCTTCTGATTGTCAGTACATGATATATTTGTGTCTACTTTTTATATTTGCCTCGTGGTGGCCGATCAGTAGGTATGAGAGTTTATAACGCTAAAAATCTGGTTTCGATACCCGCAGTGAGCACAACGCGCATAACCAATTATGTAGCTTTGCGCTTAACAACAAACAAATTTTCGCCCTCTATAGAGAAAACTGCGCCATCTAGAGGCTTGAATGTACGCGTTAGGAAAAAGATGGCGGTGAGATCACTGATCATCCGATAATTTAGAAGTATATAGGCTATATAAACTATACATATAATCTTTGTGTCATTAATCTTCGTTGTTACAGGAAACTTTGACAGTCAGCATTTCAGGTAAGTTGAGTTTCACTCTCATAGTAAGGTACAACTGTGAATTTTACAAACGGAAAATAAGAATAGCTGCAAAGAGCTGATAAATGGACCTGTTTTCACACAAGAGCAAGCGCGTGCTCCACCCTAGATAACGCTAGAGTATCAGCTGGCAGACGACTGCAGTGACGCGTCGATGTCACGCTCTATAATCATGAATTATTTATAAAATAATTGATGACTCTTTCATTAAAAATCAAAAATAAGGATTTGTTTTTGATGGTCCAATAACAAATAACCAATTTGTCGGTGGAAACAAAGAGAATGGGGGAGAGATTTGCTGGCGTTAAAATACTATAATGCGTTGTCTTTAAGATCAATAATACTTTTGTATTCAATACCTCTTGGTGGTTTCATCGGATGTGATTGAACAGGTTTGTCCAGTAATTATGTTATTGTTTTTTGGTTTTGGTTTGTTTTTTTTTGTACACATTCGATTGTTCAGATGAAAAACAATTATAATAGCAATATTATTTGTCCTTATTTTCCAAATTAGCTGACCAATGATTTGCCTGACTTTAATTTGAGACGTGAAACTTCTCTGTAGATCAAAGTACTTCTGCGTCAAAACATTTATACAGGCGTTAATCTGGTGTACTTTAATTCTATGAACTTATGAGTGAAGGCAAACAAGAATATATGATATGATATATCAATCGCATGATATCTCTCAAACCCAGTGACGACGACGTTTTTCGACCAATGCCAGGACTCATCAGGCTACCTGAGATACGACAGTTTTAGTAGTGATCTAAACGCTATTTATATCGTCAAGTTTTAATTAAGAACTGAGATTCAAGATTTATTTTGAATTATTTGCTTAAATATAGTACAAAAATATAAAAAGTTATCTGATATATTTCTTGTCTAAATTCTCTTTTCAAGTGTTTCTTTGATGAACTATAATAGTCTATTTTTATCGCACTACACAATGTCACAGGCTGTGTTTATATTATTTGCTTCCAATAGCAATGTGAAGGGAGAAACACTTGAAACTTAGCACATGTGTTTTCTATATATATATACACGACTGGCACAAAATTAGATTGGGTATAAACAGATTGATGTTCGGAGGACCGTACAGTCATGTATACAGAACTGGCACAAAATAAGGTTGGGTATAAACATGTAGATGTTTGGAGGACCTTACAGCCATATATATAAGACTAGCGCAAAATAAGGTTGGATATAAGCATGTTTATGGTGGGAGGACCATACAGTCATATATATAAGACTAGCGCAAAATAAGGTTGGATATAAGCATGCTTATGGTGGGAGGACCGTACAGTCATGTATACAGGACGGGCACAAAATAAGGTTGGGTATAAACATGTAGATGTTTGGAGAACCTTACAGCCATATATATAAGACTAGCGCAAAATAAGGTTGGATATAAGCATGCTTATGGTGGGAGGACCGTACAGTCATGTATACAGGACGGGCACAAAATAAGGTTGGGTATAAACATGTAGATGTTTGGAGGACTGCACAGTCATATATACAGGACGGGCACAAAATAAGGTTGGGTATAAACATGTAGAAGCTAGGAGGAATATATAGCCACATATACAGAACTGGCACAAAATAAAACTGAGTATAAACATGTAGATGTTTGGAGGATCGTACACTCACATATTCAGGACTGGCACGAAATAAGGTTGGGTATAGGCATTCTGATGGTATGAGAACTGTACAGCCTACTGTTTTTCCTGATGGTAAAAATGTATAAACACACATGCCGAACGAACTAATAAAAAAACGAACATAGATAATATTGCATGATGGCTTGAAATAAAGGAAAGTTTATTTCTTTTTATTTAAGAATGCAGTAATATAAATGAAAATTACATCAAATGTTCAATATGTTCTCCATTTCAATAACATACTCTAAACGTGATGGGACACTATAACAATACATGTGATAGGACAGTTTAATCAGCAGCACAAAGCATATATTCAGTAACTGCATCACACAATGTTGAATATGATTTTTTTCGCGTAAGTATTAACAATGAGCGATTGCATTAATTGATGACTGAATGAAACTAGCACTTTTAACTGCAGTACCTGATGACGTCACGTAAGAGGCATATAGTGTTTCCAGGGCACCTATTGTCCCTATTTTCATAAATGTGTTCCCCATATACTTTTTTCATACGCTCATACCAACGGGTGAAGCTGTAGGTTGTATGAATCTGCCACAAATTACTCATTTATCCCCAAGCTGTACATGTGTATGTACGTGTATATGCGAGCTTATAAAACAAGTCTGGTTTCGAACTTGGCTTATATGTTTTCCGCATTGTTCTCTACCAAATTTCTAGCAGCTGTGCCTCAACAGTGTGGCTACTTTAATGATGAATATTCCTATTCGTATAATATATGCACATGCTTAGTGATATAATTTTATAAGAAAGATATATAGTTCCTGTGATGTAGTAAGAAAATAAACTTTATAAGGCTTACAATCATTGAGAAAACAATATGAAATTACACTTAGAATCAAATAATTATTCCAGCTGGATCATAAGAATGTTCTACACCTCCTTGAGATGGTATATCCAATGTATTATAAATATTTATTGAGAAGCAACAAAATACAATCTATGAATAGACTTTCATTGGTATCACATTTTAGACCGAAGTGACTTCAAAGATACGCACTAGTTTACAGTATCAAAAACTCAACTTGGTATTCTAGTTTTCAAAATTTTCTACCTCTTGCGTCTCCAGAACAAAGATATGCATGTATATATTCTAACATCAGTATATAGTTATTAAATGACACACTTATCCAATTTTGATGTTTATGTTAAACTTTTGAATAATACTCAGAAACTGAAAATTCTTATTAATTAATTGCTTGTTTGTTGTTAAGCAAAGAGCTACACAATGGGTTGTGCTGTGCCCACCACGGGTATCGAAACTCGGTTTTTTAGCATTGAAGGCCGACAGACTTGTCGCTGAGCCACTGTGAATGGATACCAATTAATTAATCAAACTTTATTTTTTATAAATATACACATATGACCGTAAAACCGAAACTGTTTGAATTGAAGAACTAAACGAAGAACCTCTACAAGTGTGGTTGTAAATTAATGATAGTATAGATGTTATGATACTACAACATTCCTACAGGCAAAGTAGGTATATTCAAGCTCAAAGAACGAAGACACAGAGGCAACTAGAAGAAATCAATTTCAAGATCATGTTTTTTATGCCAAACTGCATAGAAAGAAACTACACAAGTTCTTTTTTTCAATATCTATATTACTAAAGTTGGCAGAAACATATGATATGCTTGTATTTTCCCTCTCATCTCTGTTTCAGGCTCGACGTCAAGCCTATAATTAAATTTAGCTTAAAACTAATAACTTTTATACTCGCGACATGGTACTTACAATGCTAAAAATCGGGTTTCGATACCCATGGTGAGCAGAGCACAAATAGCCCATTGTGTAGCTTTGTGCTTAATTACAAACAAACAAACTTTCCGTTAAATGTTTAATTTCTGTCTTATTTATAATCTTAAATGTTTGTCGGAATAATGTATAATTCTCTTCCCAGTGATTTGTGTACTAAATTTTCCGTTGATGCTAGAATATAAAGATAGCCGTTTGGTACATTGATCTCTACCTTAAAATAATGAGTAAATTATACACAAGAATGCATATAAAGTCGTTGCTATACTTACTATTACAAGAGATAAAAACGTAGTTGCATAATTGTAACTGTAGACGTAAGTATACTTAGATGGTATTAACTGAAAGTAACGGGTTTTTTTATTTCTCCTCCTTCATTTTTACAGAATCATGTATGGAATTCAACTGACTCCGGTGAGTACTAAATAATAAAAAAAAATTATCTACTTTTATATTAAAAAAATTAAAGACTATTTTTTTCATACAGGACTTTATTACATATCACATTTATTCATATATAGGTTTTTTATTTAAAAAACAGTAACATATTTTTGAGGCATTGAGTTGAAAGTATAATTAGCCTACTCATGCAGTAGAATTGGCAGAAGTCATGTTTCACCCAATGTCTCCTGTGTGTTGATTTTTTTCTTACCAACAGCTATGTAAATAGAATTAATCACGCTTGGTCCAAAGTTTCTTATATAACCAACCCTTACTTTTTTCTCTTTTTTAATGATTCAACCGACCTTCCATCAAGGCTGCTAGTGTCTGTATATACAACATTTGGAGATTAATAATAATATTTATGGCTGCAGAATGAAGAATAGCTCTGACATTAGCCATGCCAATTAATTGTAGACGAAATTCCGTAGATATCAACCACCAATAAACCTATCATAATAATTCGATTGTTTAAAAGTTTCAGTTTGATATACCAGTTTGAATATGTTATTGTTCTCAAGAAATTTTGTATGTTTATTTATTATTAACAAAACGATGTCGTGTCAATCGTCTGGTTAGTGATGATTCTTCAAACAGGAAACTTCTAACATATCATCATGTTAACTAACATCAAGACGCATGGTACTTACTCCAGCCAAGTAGAACAGCTGTGGCAATATCTCAGGTCTAGTAAATAGCCATATTAGTGTTACTCCATATTTCTGAGATGTGGAATGTCACTATTCTTATGTTATATGGCTATTTACTAGACCTGAGATATTGCCACAGCTGTTCTAGATGTGGAATGTCACTATTCTTATGTTTCTAAACAGTTCTAAACACTCTTACATCACATAATATAGCAGCTTTGTATGTGTTTTAGATTAAGAGGAGTAAGTCAAAACGTGGTAAAACTGTTATTTTTCTTCTTCTTCTTCTGTGGTAAATCATATAATAAACAAAGGACCAACACGGAGTAAACTTCCACTGGAATATATTAATTTGAAACAGGGAATATTTGACAACTGTAGTATACAATTACAATTTTAAACATTTTTTGACAATTTTAACATGAATTGCTCTCTACAACAGCCCTCCCCCCCCAGTGACACGGCGGTATGTCTGAGGACTTATCACGCTAGAAACCGGGTTTCAATACCCGTGGTGGGCAGAGAACAGATAGCCCATTGTGTAGCTTTGTGCTTAATTACAAACAAACACATTCTACAGCAATAAGCTAAAAGTGACTACTAATGACTGACAATAAGGGATGGAATAATGGTCTAAGGTGCTCCATCTGTCTTAATAGCTTCCCAAGACAACTGGTGCTCGACTTTAACTTTGGGTAGAATCTTATTTGTAGTTAATTTCAAAATAATGTTCCATATTTAAATGTATTAAATATTTAATAAATTAAGAAAAATTTAGATTTCAAAGAGGACTAAAAATGATTGCTGTTTCATCGTTTGCCTTCTGGCTCTTTTGCAGCATTAAAATCAAAATGCTTAAATAGACTAACACAGTGTGTTCAAGTTTTAATCGAGATAGAAACAAAGCTCATGTATTTCAGAACATATTTTACTAAATCAACACAATATGTAACAAAAATCTTTTTGCGAAATACATTTACCAATGTTCTAATAGGATTTATAAATGAAGAAAAACTATTAGTTTTCATGTGCAAAATATCTTGATATGTAAACTGATGTTTATTAAATTGCAAACTTTACATCTTCCTAATACCTATACAGTACAAGTAAAACCAACTTTTCAAAAAGGAATTAAATTTCGGAATGTAATATCAATCTTTCAAAAACAAAGCAAACGTATGGCATTTGCATCATCCTTACATAATAGCACAGACACACAGTGTAGTAGATTGTTAACAGACAAAAATAGGATAAATAAACTGAATAGTGATTGAATAGTTATATATATATATATATATATTGCTATATGTTAATTCTTGCCTGTGTTATTATGTAGGAATGATCAAATGCCATCCCTACTATCTTCTTTGCTTTGTTTCTGAAGGATTGATATTAATCATCCCTAAATTTATTTCTTTACTTGTTTGCTTGTTTTTTTAATGCAGTGTTTGAATAGTCATAGGAAGGTTGTATTTATAACCGAGTTCTAAATACAATAAGGATCTAACTGTAATATTTATTGTTTATCTATTATTGGCTGGTAATTCCTGTTTCACCCTGTACTTAAGCTTTTTTAAGAAACATCAAATTTCTGTAAAAAAAAGCTAACTTCGAGGGATAATGATAACATCGTCTACACTAGAATTATGGGTTTTTTATTACTACTAATTATTAATAATTCTTATAAAAGTGGAAACTCCGTTTGAAACTATGTCACCTCAGTGAAATTGGTTGACACCATTGTCTCGGTTTTTGAGTTATCATGTAACGAAAAAGAAGCAGAAGAAAGAAGAATATACTATGATATTTACAAATATACCCATAACTTGTTACTCAGTCATTACATAGATATCGTTATAAAAGAAAACACTGTATAGTATTGTAAAGTTCTGATGACCTATTGAGGAAATATTAAAAATACCATTTCGATTAACAATCCAAGCCATCCCTACATAGGCAGTGCTACCGCCTGCCTGATATAGATAAATAAAAAAAAGGAAAAAGAAACGTTTTCGTACAATAAAACACAAAGCCTTATTAGTTACTTAAAGCCATCTAGTTTTAATAATACAGTTACCATTATCAAGGTGTTTTTCTCCATGTATTTAAAAATAAATTATATCTCGAAATTAATAGTAATATCTGATCAAAAAATTTGGATTATACAAAAACAATCAAGTTAAAATAAAGATGTCAGTTATATACAGGTGTGGTACCAAAAAAAAGAGAGCTTAGTTTTATAAAAGAACAAACCCTATAAAGATGTAATGTAAAAGTGTGTAACTTAAAAATTGGGAAATTTCTCGCCCCTATTTTACATCTGTGCTTGCTCCAGTTTCCATACCATAAAAAAGATCGCCTGTTGTCCCTTATTGTCACTTGCTGTCCTGTCACTGGGAGTAGGTCTCCATAGGTAGGTGGTCGAGTGAATCCACCAATAGCTCTATCCTTGGGCCCGGCATAGCCAGGTGGTTAAGGTGCTCGACTGGCAATCTGAGGGTCGCGTGTTCAAATCCCCGTCACACCAAACATGCTCACCCTTTCAGCCGTGGTGCGTTATAATGTGACGGTCAATCCCACTATTCGTTGGTAAAAGAGCAGCCCAAGAGTTGGCGGTGGGGGGGGGGTGATGACTAGCTGCCTTCCCTCTAGTCTTATACTGCTAAATTAGGGACGGCTAGCGCAGATAGCCCTCGTGTAGCTTTGCGCGAAATTCAAAACAAACAAACAAACAAAGCTCTATCCTTAATGATCTGCTAGAATTAGTCTAGACAAGAACCCTGGACTGTTCAGCAGGATTACTTTTTGCAGGTAAGTTCTTCTCTGAGTTTATGCAGTTGGTCGTTCTTTCAATGACATACTTCCAAAGTAGATCACTGTGGATAACTTGTCCTTCTGTAATGTGTAAAACACACCATTGATTATTTTCAATAAAATATATCGTCCTTTCCAACACCGACTTAATTTTGGAATTCATCCTATCTTGCAGTGAAGATTATACAGCCATACCACCTCCTCTAAATGGAATACAATTTTATGAGCATTAACATCATAGTAACTTTTAATTTATCATTGGCTCATGTAAAACTTTCCTGAGTGTCTTATGTATGGTTGTCCTTAGTCTTCCTGCATATTCTATGTTAGACTGCTGAATGACTGTCCTCCAGATGGAAGTACAGAGGGTAGAATGGCACTTTGATTTCTCTTCCAAACACCATTAGTGATAGAGTGTTGTCTGTAGCTTCATGCACTGTCATTTAATAATTCATAAGTAACAGTGTAAGGTGTTTATCCCACATTTTCTTATGTTATTTACTTAAATGGTTAATTTATTGAAAATTGTATAGTCGTATCACTCCACTATACTATCATAAAATAGATGAACAGTCTCTGTCCTGGTCCTCTTGGTACCAAAGATCTGGCACATTTATGCAAACAAGGCTGATTCAAAGTAAAGTTCCACAGGTACTGCAAATCTTGAAACATGTTCGTTGACGAGTTTCCTTGTTAGAGCTTCTACTTCCTAGTGAGGAACAGCATATTTTTCTGACTATCTTGTTAAATATTCCATCACAACCATGACGTTTTTATCTCACTGTTACTCTGTGGCAGAGAACCAAGCACATAGACAGCAACTATCTCAAGTGTTGCTCCAACACAATACTGCTTTAACTTTATATGATATTTCTTTAGTGGACCTTTTCACTAACAGCATAGTTCACACAATGTACATCAATTCTCTACAGATCTCTGAGATCCAACTCAACAGAATAGTTCTCTTACTCTCTACAATGTCTTAACACCTCTGTGTCCAGTTGTTGGAAGATTGTGGAGATGACAGAGCTCTTTTGAATACAGAGACGATAGAAATATCAAATGTAGTCGTTGTTTCTGTCCACTGGTATTTTATCATTTCTGATATAAACCCTCTTGTAAACATAATGAACCGCACAGTGCTCAATCCATCTTTATTTTCAGGCTTTATGGAGTGACTGTTTGCCAATAATGTTTTTATGCACACTTCTTGATTCACTGCATAACTGATTTCAACGCGTACCTTTTGCCTGAGCATCTTTCAGTTGAATGTTGGAACACATTATTTCTTTATCATCACTTGTGGTTGTTCTATCTTGGACTACTCTGGTGTACATTAAAATGGTCGTCTTTACTACCTCATGCTTCCTTCTTTTCACAGAATTGGCACTCTCATTAAAGGATGATCTTCAGAATAATACACTAGGGTTTCCATGGTTCCATCCAGGGCTATGCACAGTGTTAAAGCTTGTACTACTAAAGCATAAGGAGCCATCTTCCTATTTGACC